CTGCATTAAAGGTTCGCGCGGGACAATGAACCTGCTAACCTCCACACATCCTCCCTCACTTTCTACACTTCCAGAAAGCTTATTTTCTCTACTCACTCATTAGATAAATAAACTGATTGGATTGTTCAGAGTACTTTAAGGGAAAAATGACCTTTGTCGTTTAGCAAATTAAATCGTCATTAAATTGGCTTTGCTCTGCATGAAGACATCCGCAAGCAACAGACCTCTTTCGGAGACGGCCTCCAGTATTATCGACTATGAGCGATTCGATAAAACTACACTCATCGACAGAAGCGCGAGCTGTGTTGACAGTTGCAGGATCTGAATTGGTGGACTACATCACAAATCCCAGAGAAAACAGAAATCAGTTGTTTCGTAAAAAAAGGCGATCAATCTTTCAGATGACCAACTCGATGCAAATGGTGATGTCGCCGACCTGTACAAAACACCGACTTGATTTTCGCCACTTGTCTGACTCATCGTTGCTTGTCTTGGTCTTCCACTCTTAAACGACTGCCTCAACTGTCTTCCGGTGATGAATATTCACAACGCTTCTTTGCTCTGTGAGAAAGCTTAATTAGGGTGTTTCAAGAAATAGGCCCAATCTTTTGTCCCGAGCATGAGCAAAATGCACTTTCTTTGATGATCTGATTTAAATTATGTGCCTTAGGCGTGACCTACTGCTCACATAATTTTCGGCCTTTGCGTCTTTGGTAGCTCATTTCTGCAAGAAAAACTGACTTTGTTGCTGCCGTGTCTCTCACCTCTGGGTAAACTAAGTCAGTGAACTAGGGATCAACACACGGGCTTGTGAGAGCGAACGATTAGTGATTTTGACTGTCAGCGAGAATCCCTCCACTTTCGTCCAACCTCAGTCTTGACTACCTTATTACTATTTTTAGAACCCAAGGACAAGCAGCGGCAGCAGCATCAGCAGCGAACGCATACCTCGGAATTTGTGCTTGAGGGCTTCAGGGTGTCGGTTGCAGAGAAGGTGGAAGTTGTGCCAGGCGAGCGACGGCCCCTTGTTGCAGGTGAGCACATTCACATTGAGCCGATTGGGGACAGCAAGACCAACGAGAACATCACGGAGGTCATGGCCCGTGCCCACTTCCAGTACCTCGATTCGGAGATGAGTCGACGCGGGTGCATCCTATTGATCAGAGCCAACTCCACTGGGAACCAGTCGCTGTCGGAGTTCACTTACGAAGACATTATGCAGAGACAGATTGTGCTGGGGGTGAGTGGTGTCGTTCATAATAAGTTTAACTGATTTGAAATCAGTTAGAGAAAAAGAACTTTCTCTTTATCATTGCCTAGTTTGGGTATTATATTGTCTACGTATGTTCATTCGCAAGCAACGTGACTGATGAGACAGA